ATAATTTACTTTAAAGAACATTTATTTTATTTCCATGTTGCAATAATTTACTCTAAGGTGAATCCTCTTACAAAGTCGACTAAGGGAATACATAAATTTATTCCTATCTTGTATAATCTATTTTGACTAATACGTGTTCCATAATACATTACAGAGATTATATATATATTTCTTTCTTGCAATAATTTACTCTAAGGGGAATTATTTTTGTTGCAAGATTTGACTTGGGTTCCTTCCTTTAGCAGTAATACACTCTGCAGGGAATATATTCTTCCCCCATCTTGCAATGACAGTTAACTGGATAAAGCAAATATATTCTTCAGTGTTGCAATAATTTACTATGAGGAGAATTTGTTTCTCCGCTTATGTAACAAGTTCACTTTGCTATTGTACTTGTTTCTCCTTTTCTCCCAATGATAATCAACCCTGGTGAAAATAAATTCGTTCGTCTTGCAACATAATCACTCACACAAACAATTTATTCCCCCCTTTTCTTGCAATAATAACTTCAAATAAAATCACATTCACGATCTTAAAACAATTCAGTGTATCAAGTTCATCACACAGCACAGTTCTTCAGTTTCTCGACTTTGTGCTATCATATTGTGCTAACGATTAGTATTGTGTAGAATTAAAAACAAAATCAACAAAAGAAAAACAATAAAAGAATAACTGTAAATGTCAGGTAATGAAAAAAAAATAGCTGTAATGTTTTCGTTTATACCGAACACTAACACAATAGAGACTGGACCAATAGGCGACGTGGAGATGTTTACGTCATCGAAGTAGGGTTGCTTGTTCGCATTTGATTGGTCGGGAGAGGATGGACGAGAGAAAATCATAAGTAGCAGATAAATATATAGACAGTAAAAAAGATAAGAAGTATGATAGATGAGAGAGAGAGAGAGAGAGAGAGAGAGAGAGAGAGAGAGAGAGAGAGAGAGAGAGCAAATAAAACGGTAGATAGACAAAAAAAAAGAAGACTAAACTAACAACTACTTGAGGGCGTCGTTGAGTGGACGGAGCCGGGTAATAAGATCATTAGGAGAACAATTCCACACGGAGGAACAACTTGTTAAGAGCTGAGCTGAAGCTTCTTTACCGATTTTTTCTTTGACAACTTAAACAACAGTCAACAAATACTGAACTCTGTGATTATATAAACAATGTGAGACAAGAGGTTGATCTGCCGCAGTCGTTGACGAGATGCAGGGCATTCAGTCAGGCGAGGTCTGGCGGACCACCTGCCAGGGGCGGCATAACATCCGTCATATACATGTTGGCAGACCACCAACTGCTGGAAGCGTTCCATGACATCACCGTTAATGTTTGGCAGACAGAGGCAGTGTCTCAGGACCTCGGAGTGACCACCGTTATTTCTCACTTCAAGATGAATAACAGTTAACTGACTGTCGAAGGATCTCTCTCTCCTGTCCACTGCAGGCACTTGAGTGATCTTAGATCGAGTTGTCTCTCCCACCTTGGCAGAGGACGTCCCGGAGTCTCAGTGGGGACACTAGTGCAGGTATGAACTTTTTACTGAGACAGAAACAACAGAAGTACTTTGCCCTTATCGATCTTATCAAGTACTCTACACTGTAACAGAGATGCATTCTGGGAGAGGTTTTCTCAAAACTAGCTGCCCCTCCCCCTCCACATTATTTGTTCAATTATCCAACTGCTCCATTAGGACCTGCGAGGGCAGGTGGTCTCGGACGAGGATGTCACATTACAGTTATTAGCTTCAGTGTAGTGAAGTAGTACTGCCTCCTGACACCAGTCCTCTTCACAACGTCGTCCATCACGCCACTAAGGGTTCAGGTAAAGGCGTCTACATTAGATCCAGAAAAGATGGATCGGTTATCGACCTGAACAAACTTGGAACTAAAGACAAAACAACGGAACAACGTCTGCGTGAAGCAATCTTAGCCGATGACACTTTTTTTTGGTCATCGAGGCATCGAAGCTCTTTGGTCTGACCATTAGTCTTGGAGAACACGAAGTTGCTGAATACTGAAGTGGCTGTAAACCTGACCTCCAGTCATGGTTCACAGGACAATGATAAATACCAGAGGCCGAGGACCAGTCAGTGCTGCTGTTCTATCATCCCTGAGGTGGACATCATACTGTACAGGCCGCTGGACCGTTGTCGCCCCGGACGCACCATCATGGGTGTCTGGTGGCAGGATAAAATCACCACCGTGGAGGTGCTGTAAAAGTCACCATAACTTAACACCGAGACACTGGTAATCAAGACCCAGCTTCATTAGGCTGACCATGTTGCCAGGATGCCTTGCCTACCGACTGCCAAGATACTTCTTCTAGGACGAGCTGAATTAGGCCATAGATGTCTCGGCCGCCCACACAGACAACAGAGGGCCATTACCTCCAACAGTGTGGTCTCAAACACAACCTCCAACAGTGTGGCCTCAAACACAACCTTCATCATCGTGGCCTCAAATCAGGAGAGGTAGAGGAAGCTCCGAGACAGACCAGATACAGGCCCAGGCAGTAGTTAAAACAATAAAAAAGTAAGAAGCAAAAAAGTAAACAAAAGAGATAAATAACAAGTAGATAGAATAAGTAAACAAGAGACAAGTAAGTCAGATAAACAAGAGGTAAAGTAAGCTAGAGAAAAGTAGAAGTAATCAAAGTGAAGAAGGAATGTTTGATTACAGGTAAGAGAGACGAGATCACAGAGCAGATAACAAAGAAAAACCAATTAGCCGACGCGTATTGGTGGAAACAGCTGCCGGGGGACTATAACAATAATAATAATAATAATAATAATAATAATTACCTTTTTTGTTATTATTATTAATAACAATAATAATAATAATAATAATAATAATAATTACCTTTTTTGTTATTATTATTATTATTATTATTATTATTATGTGAAATATGTACTTCTGTAACATTAATTACCTGATTAAGTTAGGTTAGGTTAGTCTCGATCAAGCTAAGTTGCATTAATCTAAGTTAGAATAGTATGAGATGGACTTAAGGTTAGGTTAGGTTAGGTTAGAACAAGAACACTAATATTAAACTATAATAGAATGGAATACAACATTCACCCTTTTCTAAAACGGCCTCACCACGACCTTCATCCCCAGTCAGCCAACACATAATACCCAACAACTTTCCACCAGACATTCCGCCGCCAACTTTCCGCCTGTTGCGTAAGTCTCCCTACGAGGCGGAGGATCAAAGCCTGGCGAGGATTCAGGAGGAGCGAGAGAGAGTTTGCCGGCCACACAAGCTACCAATTACGTCCTCCAAAATGGCCACGATCCCCAATTTTGAGAAAGGACCTCTGGTAGATGCTCGGTAGGTGGGTGTGGGGTGAGGGGTATAGGGGTGGGGAGAAATAGGCCACGCAAAGAATGGGATTTACAGTTGAGGGAGGAGAAGTGTGTGTGTGTGTGTGTGTGTGTGGGTGTGTGTGTGTGTGTGTGTGTGTGTGTGTGTGTGTGTGTGTGTGTAGAGCAGACTAAGACTCAAATCTCGTATTTACATATCGGTTTCAAAATTACAATACTTGCATCACGGGGATTTTTCCCATAAAATTCGCCTGGGAGGGGGGGTGGTAGCGATGGAGTGGGGGGGTCTGGTGTGGTGAGAGGGGGGGTGAGGAGGGTCGGGGAGAGGTTGAGGAGGACGCAGGGTATATTAGCTTTAGCCTTAAGCTATAAAAGATAAATAACTTGAAGAGCATTTAATCACCCGAGCGTATTAACTTATGCTCCAACTTTTGAATATTTTTAATGAGGTAACTAATCACCTCTTAACTGCAGCGTTCAGAAGGGTTAGATAGATAGATAGATAGATAGATAGATAGCTAGATAGATAGATAGATAGATAAATAGATAGAGAGAAAGTATGAAGATTATATTTACTGAGAGAAGAAAAGTCATGTAAAGGGATAAAAAAGAATGAAAGAGAAGCATATAACGACACAGACAGACAGACAGACAGACAGACAGACAGACAGACAGGCAGACAGACAGACAGAGGTGTAAAAGAGAATATCGTTTGCAAGCTTCTAAGTATCGGATTTTTTTTTTTTAGAAATACTATAAAACATTTTGAATGAGGTAGATTATATCTTTATGCGTGTGTGTGTGTGGTGTGCGGGTAAAAAGTGTTGGGTGTGGGTGTGTGTGTGTGTGTGTGTATGTGAGTGTGTGGGTGTGTGTGTGTGTGTGTGTATGTGGGTGTGTGTGAGTGGGGGGGGGTTAATAACTTTTGAATGTATATTGTAAAAAATCCCCCCTCCCCCTCGACACTACCAGGCGTATCATTACAACAACAACAACAACAACAACAACAACAACAACACCAACAACAATAACAATAACAACAATTCTCTCTCTTGCACACAAATTTAAGTCATCATGATAATAAAAAAACACATGACGCATTTTTCTTTATTAATCATCATCATCATCAATAATAATAATAATAATAATAATAATAATAATAATAATAATAATAATTCCTTGTCCAGTACGATAACAGCCTCGTCAGTCTTGGCATCATCGCACCACCACCACCACCACTACTACTAAAATATAATGGAGGTGAGGTGTACAGCACGGCGCCTGTCCACCATCCCTCGCTAAACACCAGCTTATGAGCCATTATTGTCCACCTCTCTCTCTCTCTCTCTCTCTCTCTCTCTCTCTCTCTCTCTCTCTCTCTCTCTACTCTACCAGCACTTCACCAATGGGTCATCATTATGGAGCCAGATGTGATGAGTCATGGGAACCTTCTGGAGAACATCTGAGTGAGTGTGGGGAAAAGGACCTGACGACGCCTACCTCCTCCCGTCGGCAGAGGCAGTTTACCCGTGACGTGGGCTGTGTGAGAGGTGTGGGTTGTGTGAGAGGTGTGGGTTGTTAGAGTAAGTGATGTGGGTTGTAGTTCATTTATAGAAGAGAACTAAAATCATAACATCATCTCGGATAAAACAACACTGATGAACAGGTAAGACTTACAGGTGAACGAAGATGCCACGGGACAGGTGAGGAGGCAGTGGAGGGGTGAGGGAGCCAGCCGTCCTGCTCTGTAAATTAAATGCATTGTGTTAATAACTGCATCAGCAAGCTCTATGAATATTAAATCTTACTCACTCGCTCACACTCACTCTGTAACTAGTTTAACGCTTGTTGTCGCTTAGCACTAACGCACTCGCTCACTCTCTAACTCGTTAACGATTCGCTTCTAACACTTAAATTTTAACTATTAATCAACACTAAATGTCATAATGAAATGGAATGGGATAGAAAGTGACCTTAAATGTGGTTTATTGAAGAACCCAACCCAACCCAACCCAACTAGCCAACCAAGGAATATCAAAAAGCAACCCAACAACCCAACCCAGCAGCAAAGAGTCAACCCAACCCAACAGCAACCCAACCCAGCAACCCAACCCAACTTCCTCAGCACCCAGAATAAAGTAAATCCAACACACACACACACACACACACACACACACACACACACACACACACACACACACAAAACACTGGACGGCGTCATAACCAGACCACAGCCCAACAAGTTACTCAATGACTACAAAGCTTTAAACTCGTCCCTGTTAAATACACAATCAGCGGGATTTGGGAGCGTATCATAGAGACCTGAACGAGCGTAAATAAATATTCCTACACAGAGAGAGAGAGAGAGAGAGAGAGAGAGAGAGAGAGAGAAAACAATGGTTGCTCTACACACGCGACCTCGTCTGTGTGTGTGTGTGTGTGTGTGTGTGTGAGGTGCTACATATAGTCGAATATAGTTTGATGGAGTCGTCATGTCTGTCTGTCTGTCTGTCTGTCTGTCTGTCTATTCCACTTGACCTGATAGAAGCGCCTTGATGGAAAGAGGTAATGATGTCCGTGACCTTAACGATGTGACCCAGTGACCTTAACGATGTGACCCCGTGACCTAGATAACCGCTGTATGTGTCCGTGTGTCTGTCTTGTGTCTACGAGTGGCACATGGCGGGTATTGTTATGTACCCCATTTACTATGTCATCGATAATTAGAGGGAGGGAGGGGGAGGGGTGAGATATCCAGGGGTTCTCTCTCACTTGTGGCTGCAGTGAGACATCCATTATCTCTCATCTCTATGTTCTCTCATCTCTATGTTATCTCTAAGTCATCATAAGAGAATCATCACTACTAACAAGATAACAGAAGATAACAGCAGCAGCAGCAGCGATAACAGCAGCTGTGGTAGTGTTGCAACAACTGCTGCAACACTACCTGCAACAATCACATCTGCATCATCACCAACACAAACAGCAACACGATCATCAACAGCAACATAAATACGAACAACAACAACAGCTGACACATAAGAGGCTGATACATACGAGGTTGACACATACGAGGTTGACACATACGACGCGGACACACAGGTGGCGGACACACAGGTGGTACTCAGTGTGTGGGAGTGGCAGAGAACTTTCATTTGTGTAGGTTATGACATGTATGGTGGCAGACCCTCCTCCCTGCCTCCCTGCCTGCCTCCCTGCCTGCCTGCCTCCCTGCCTCCCTGCCTGCCTCCCTCCTCCTGCCTGCCTGCCTCTTCCCCACCCGGCGCCTGCTGATTCTCACCTAACCTAACTTTAAGGATTAGTTTGCCTCCTATACACCTCCCCACAGGTTTCTATTACGCAGAAGTAGAGCAGTGAGGAGGGAGGGAGAAGAGCAGTGAGGAGGAGGGAAGTAGAGCAGTGAGGAAGGGAGGAGGCAGTGAGGAGGAGGAAATAGAGCAGTGAGGAAGGAGGAATAGAGCAGTGAGGGAGGGAGGGAAGTAGAGCAGTGAGGAAGGGAGGGAATGGGAAAGGAGGGAGGGAGGGAGCAGAGCAGTGGGAGGGAAGGAAGGAGAAGAGGAGGGAGCAGAGCAGGAGGGAGAGGGAAGAAGAGGAGGGAGGTGAGAGCAGGGAGGGAGGGGAGGAAGGGAGGGGCAGGAGCAGAGAGGGGAGGGAGGGGTAGTAGAGCAGGGAGGGAGGGAAGTAGAGCAGAAGTTCAGTGAGGGGAGGGAGGGAGAGAGAGGAGCAGAGCAGGGAGGGGAGGGAGGAAGCAGGAGCAGGAGGGGAGGAGGGAAGTAGGGAGCAGTGAGGAGGGAGGGGAAGAGAGAGGGAGGGAAGCAGAGCAGAGGGGAGGGAGGGAAGTAGAGCAGGAGGAAGGGAGTAGAGAAGAGGGGAGGGAGGGAGAGGAGGGAGAGGGAGGAAGCAGAGCAGGAGGGAGGGGAGGGGAAGTAGAGAAGGGGAGGGAGGAAGGAGGAGGGAAGTAGAGCAGGAGGAAGGAGGGAAGAGCAGTGAGGAAGGGAGGGAAGTAGACCAGGAGGGGAGGGAGGGAGTAGACCAGTAGGGACCAGGGAGGGGAGGAAGTAGAGCAGTGAGGAGGAGGGAGAGAGCAGTGAGGAAGGGGGGCGGAGCAGGAGGAAGGAGGAAGTAGAGCAGGAGAGGAGGGAAGGCCAGTGAGGGAGGGAGGGAAGTAGCAGTGAGGGAGGGGGAAGGGAGGGAGGGGAGGAGGTGAGGAGGGAGAGGGGAGGAGGCAGGTTCACGCCTGGGTGGAGGTTTACTTGAGTGTTTATTACTGTTTGTGTTGTGTTGTGTGCTAGGCTGGTGTATTTCTCGCTTTCCTTCAGCAAATTGATCTTCCTAATTATTTGTTTTATATTTGTTTTGTTTTCTTATTGTCTTCTTCTCCTCCACACACACACACACACACACACACACACACACATACACACACACACACACACACACACACACACACACACACACACACACCGGGGGAGGATATTTGTTTAACGCAATATAGACGCATTATAGGATTACACGTAAGGCAAGTAGACTGAGCAATTGACTTAGTTAAATATGCATCAACAAATTACCAGAGGAATAAGCTGATAGTAAGCTGAGAATTATCATCAGGAAATAAGCTGATAGTAAGCTGAGAATTATCATCATGAGAAATAAGCTGATAGTAAGCTGAGAAATATCATCATGAGAAATAAGCTGATAGTAAGCTGAGAATTATCATCTTTGAATCATGAAAGTAAAATAGTAATAATAATATTGACTTTCTTTCCTGAATTACGTACAGGAGGTGAATAATGCAGTAGTTCGATTTAATTTATGAAGGTAAGAGTGTGTAGGTTTTTCTGATGTAGTGTTGGGTGGTCAGTCAGGTGTTTCTAGTACACCTAAGGAGGTTTGATTCACTATCATCTTTAATTAAGGTATAGTTAGGTGCCTTTTCACCTTCTCACACCTGCAGTTACATGAGAGAGCCTTAACACACACAAACACACTCGAGACGCCAACCAGGTGTCGTAGCTCAAGTAAATCAACAGACTGCTCTCAAGTTCAGTTAGGAGGATCACTTTACGTCCCAACCTTTTACGGGAGAATCCAACTCTTTACGTACGAGTGTTTTAAGACGAACACCAGCTTGTGCCTGATAACGTGAGAAGGTGAAGCCGAGATGATTGTGGAATACGAGGAGGATCTACGAGGCTCTTGAGTCCAGGGAAAATCTCTTGTAAGACTCCCTAAGATCTTTTTAAGTTAAGGAAGTGAAGAGTTCTTGAGTTATAGGAGAGGGGGGTCTGTGGCAACACCACCGGCCTGAATTTTATTTGTTGTTACTTAAACTGTAGGGTTTGGTTTGGTTTGGTTTGGTTAGATTTGGTTTGGTTTGGTTTGGTTTGGTTTGGTTTGGTTTGGTTTGGTTTGGTTTGGTTTGGTTAGATTTGGTTTGGTTTGGTTTGGTTTGGTTTGGTTTGGTTTGGTTTGGTTAGATTTGGTTTTGGTTTTGGTTGGTTTGGTTTGGTTTGGTTTGGTTAGATTTGGTTTGGTTTGGTTTGGTTTGGTTTGGTTTGGTTTGGTTAGATTTGGTTTGGTTTGGTTTGGTTAGATTTGGTTTGGTTTGGTTTGGTTTGGTTTGGTTAGATTTGGTTTGGTTTGGTTTGGTTTGGTTTGGTTTGGTTTGGTTTGGTTTGGTTTGGTTTGGTTTGGTTTGGTTTGGTTTGGTTTGGTTTGGTTATGATTAAGTTCGGAAAGATTAGAAATGTTAAGGTTAGATTTTGTGTTGGAAACTTATTAAGACCCGAAGGAACCTCTCACACACACACACACACACACACCCACACACACACACACAATTTTATTACCAACTTGTGCCTTTGGTCGAATATGTTTTTTCAGACCATCGATGCATATGTTATTGTTATTGAAGAAAGCGGGGCGCGGTGTGTGTGAGTGTGTGTGTGTGTGTGTGTGTGTGTGTGTGTGTGTGTGTGTGTGTGTGTCTGCCATCCCTGCCACAGAATAAGCAGAAACCAATCTTCCCCCATCTGTTTAAGTCTAGGTGTTGTCTGTGTTTGTTTGTTTGTATTATAGGAAGAGTCATTCGTGGCAGTGTTTGTTTGTTTTGTTTATATTAACGTTAGAACCATAAGTGCTAGTATTTGTTTGTTTTTGTTTGTGTTTCACGGAAAGTCATTTGTGGCTGTGTTTGTTTGGTCTAAAGTGAGAGCTATTATCCCCAGCATGTGTTTGTTTTGTCTTTGCTGGGTTATATCTGCTGCTTATTTCTACCTTCCAGTATAAGAATAATTGGCCAACATGCGACAAAAACATAATATAGATCATTAATTAATATCCCGTAATAGTTGTCAGTAGGCAAGATCAACCTCAGTGTTTTGATATGCCGTAACAATCCTCGTTTTGGCTGGGAAATAATATATATTAAAGTTTTTTAAGTTTTAGTTTTTTACAGGTTTTTAACGGATTTTAAGTTTTTGCAGTTTTTTAACGGATTTTTTTCAGTTTTTAACGGATTTTTAACGGATTTTTAACGGATTTTTACAGTTTTTACAGTTGTGTCGGTTTTTTATTTGCATATTCTATTTATTTTATTTTTTTCGCCCGTGTTATGATATACGGTAAAGGTCATGGGCATTGAGTTTGATTATTTTTTTATTTTTTTATTTTTCTGTTTAATAGTTCAGTATTTTATTAGAGTTGTTAAAAAGTTGTTATAACG